TTTTCCTCACTCGGGAAACTAAGGGAGCACTACCTCAACCTACATGCTTCACTCACAAAGCTTCAACAAAAGGAAAAATTCAAATAACTTAGTAAAGAAGGCCTTGGTGTATTTAAACACAATACGTTGAAATTGAAAAGCAAGAGCTTGTTTATTGATATCTCCCATAAGTTACACAAATATGTACATATACATGAATCAAAATTAAACAAACAAGAGGGAGCCTTCACAAAAGGTTGCTCAGGAGAAGTCTTAGCAGTCGGCAGAGCCCCAGAAAGAGGAGGCACCAGAGGGTGATTATTCGGAGCCTCAATACTAGGCAGAACCCCAGAAGGAGAAGGCACCAAAGGTTGATCATTTGGAGCTTTATTACGCGGTACAGCCCCAGAAGACGAAAGAAATAAATGCATTTGGAACAAACCCATAAACCTCTGATGATCAAGTAAAATCTAACCATCAGATTCCTGTAGCTGGTCGAGCTCCCTCTTCATGTTTGTAGCATAGTCATATGTGAGCATGTGCAACTGTTTATTCTCATGCTTAAGCCATTTGATCTCCTGTTTGAGACTTATCAATTCAGCTGCCAATGATTCAACTTGGCGGGTTCGAGCAAATAGGCGTTGGGCCATATTAGACATAGAACCTGCACACTGAACACTGAGAGCCAAAGAATCATTAACAACCAACTCATCAGACCGTTTGGAAAATAGTTTGTTATCTTTGGGAGTGATAAGGTTCCTGGCTACCACCGCAGTGGTCATATCATTCTTTATCACAGAGTCCCCAACGGTAAGATGACCAATAGGGGATAAGAAGGACGGGCGCCATATGTTGTCTTGAGAAGGCATGACTGCCTTTTCACCAAAGTTCAAGTCAAAACGACGGTCGGATGGGCCAGACATTCTCAGAATGAATAAAGGAGAAATGAGGAGCAATAAAATCTCTGAAGTAAGGGGAAAATTCCTAACAAGCAATAACTCTCTGAATGTACTCCTTGCACACAATTGGTGCCCTATATAAAAGAAGAGGCATAAACATTGGCCGTTAGTTCAAAAATTGAAGAGGCACCACTCTCCGGATTTTGAAGAGGCACCACTTTCCACACGCAACATCAGCTCTTTGAGTACCATAGATAACTTTGCTAAAGATCTCTGACAAAGTTTAGACACATAAATTTTGAAGGTCCAGCTACCCTACTATTACCCACAAGGGTAAAGTAACAACACCACTGCTTGATAACTAGAAAGTCCCAATGTGTGTCAACTTCCGTGCTCCGTGGCAAGGTAGACTGACAAAAATGCCTGACCTTTACTCACATTCGAGAAAACACTCCCAACAAGATTGCTTGCTTAAAAATTGAAGAGGAACCACTTTTCGAATCTCGAGAGCCAGACTCCTAACATGATTACTTTCTAAAAAATCGAAAAGACATTGCTCTCCGAATCTCAAGAGTCAGACTCCCAACAGAATTGCTTTCTCAAAAATCGAAGAGGCACCGTTCTCTGAATCTCGAGAGCCAGATCCTCGACGGGATTGCTTGTTCGAAAATCGAAGAGGCACCGCTCTCTGAACTTCGAGAGCCAAATTTCCTTGGATAAAGCTTGTCTGCAATCTTCACACGCAACATCAGCTTTTCAGATACCACATACCACTTTTTCAAAGTGTTGTGACAAAGTTAAAACATGTGAAGCTTGTAGCTCCCACTACATTGCTACGACCAAGAAGGGTAAAGGAATAGCATTACTACTTGTTGTTAGGGAGACTCCTATATATGTCGACCTTCATCCTCCACGGACAGGCAGACCTGCAAAAATGCTCAACCCTTCCTCATATATGAGAGGGCACTCCCAACAAACCCTCTCGAAATACTCAGCTTTCTTCCCTCTAATAATACCTATGCAAACCAGTCACACCAGAGTAAGAGTAATCTCATATCATCAGGGTCAAAAGCAAGAGTATCCTATATCATGCTTTTTCTCTGTCTTTTCCTTTGCCCTTGTTCTTACCTGCAAGACAAGGAGAAAGAGAGCAATCAGTCAGTACTTGGAATCAAGCTTCCAGTCAGGAATTGACTGCCTAGAACACCTTGCCTGATTACTTACCTGGCATTGCTCTCGAGTACTCATCTTCAACATCTTATGCTTCTAGAAAAGATACCACATCTGCCTAAGAAACATATAGAGCAAGTGAAAAGGATACAAGGAAGCATGTGAAGACAAGCACAACAGAACATATGCCGATTCATCTATTACTTCGTCAACAGCAAAAGTATCCCATATCATCAAAGGCCGAAGCACTCTTGAATTTGATGGACTTGTTTGACCCTCAAATTTCTTGAGTGGCCTTATATGTACCTCTGGAGGAAAACCAGAAAACCTCTCCAGCCCAGTTCAAGAATAAGCTTGTGGAAAGTTACTTATTTAAAAGCAGAAGTATCTCATATCATCTCTTCTCCATTTACTTCTCCTTATCCTTGTTGCTGTTTACGACACAAGGAGAATGAGAACAATCAACCGGAAGTCGAAGTCAAACCTCCGTTCTAGGTTGCTTTCTTGGAAGTCTGATTGCTTACCTTGTCTGTTACCTCTTTTGGCAAATCTCCTAGCTTGGCGACTTGGGGCACTCCTACTATAGGGTTTTGTATCGCACTTGATCAAGCCCGAAACTATAAGTAAGCTTCAAGTGAAAATATACATTACCTTATGCATCTTCATCGGTTAAAGATACCACCCCTGGATGGAGGAAAATTACTTCTAGAGAAGATGTCACATCTATGTATGAGACAGATAAGGCAAGTGAAAATGATACCACACTTCGGTATTAGAAGTTTCGTGATTACTCAATGGCTTGGATCTTGCAAGTTCCCAACCGAGGAGCTTCCCTCACTTGGGAACTTAGGAGGAGCACTATTTGTACCATACTTGACAAAATCCTGAACTTACACCAACTACTGAGCACCGATCAACGTTAATAACTGATCCGGTTAAGGACCCAGAAGAGTTTCCTTACAACCGGGAGGCCAATCACAGCACGACACGTGTCGACATCAGAAGCCAATCATATCGCGACACGTGTCAACATCAGAAGCCAATCACAACACGACACGTCAATGTCAAAATGAAAACTAGAAACCCTCTTCTATAAATAGAGATCATTCTCTCACAATACTTTCCTAATGTCATTGTACACTAAATCATTCACATAGTACTCACTAAAGGAAGCTTGAACCTTATGTACTTGTGTAAACCCTTCACAATTAATGAGAACTCCTCTACTCCGTGGACGTAGCCAATTTGGGTGAACCACGTACATCTTGTGTTTGCTTCCCTGTCTCTATCCATTTACATACTTATCCACACTAGTGACCGGAGCAATCTAGCGAAGGTTACAAACTTAACACTTTCTGTTGTACTAAAGTCCTCGCTGATTTTGTGCATCAACAGACTCCATCAATCAACATTTGATTTAATTTAATTAAGGGAATTGTTATTAGCACTACAAAAATCTCATTATACACTCCTCACAAGTGTATGTTTCTTTCTAATTATAGAAAGTTTGGAGTGCCAATAACAATTTCCTTAATTAAAATCAAATAATTTATTTTTGTCAAGTGCTAACACGTATCATTCTTGATGACTCATCCGATTTTGATGAGTCACATTCACATGTACGATTTGTGAGACGCATGGTGTCTACCGCGTATGCTCTGACATGTTGAAACTTTAATATGTTAATGAACATTTATTTCACGGAAATTTCGATGTTTACAACCATTGTTTGGAATTTTTTTGTTTAAAAAAAGATGGTCTCACTAACATTACCCAACTTAAAATCTACCAAGCTACTATGGATCTAAACAACTACATCATCATCATTTGGTTGGCTGCAGTAAAATTATTTAGCGGTTGAATGGGAGATAAATAAACAATTCTAATTGTAGGATACAATTACTGGATATGAAATGGAAAGCATGAAAAAGTTAAGCATATATTGGTGAAAAAATAGGTGTTGAGAGTTGTCCCACATTGGTGAGGGACAAGGTTTACTATGTGCTTATATGATCTTGGGCTACTCCCCATATTGCCAATTGGTTTTATGGTGGAACCCCAATTTCATCATGGTATCAAAGCAAGGTTGTCCACGTGTGAAGCCCAACAGCCACACGTGCTCTACGTCACCCAATTGTTGTTCACGTGTAGGCTTGAAAATCCGTTACACGTGCGGGGGTGTGTTGAGAGTTGTCCCACATTGGTGAGGGACAAAGTTTACTATGTGCTTATATGATATTGGCCTACTCCCCATATTGCCAATTGGTTTTATGGTGGAACCCCAATTTCATCAATAGGGTCTAATTGCTATATTAAATCACATAGAAAATCAAGAAATAATTTGTGCAATTATATATGAAAATAATGCATGCACATAAGTAACCAATGTTAAATGAACATGACATAATGGATTAGAAAAATCTGGAAAATACGATTGAGGTAAGTGTTGGACAATTTGTTCTTAAGGCAAGTTTACGTTCCACTATGGTGTCTCCCAACAATGACCATGTCCTTGTAATAGTAGCATTCCAAATCGCAAAGCTCTATGAACCATGATTGTGTTGAAAACTCTCTCATATGAACTCAATGAGACTCTCTAATATTTATTGCACTATATATATAATTACATGTATGATAAAATGTTGTTTTACAATTATAGGGGCCTTCCCTATTTGTAGAAGTTGAGATATCTTTGGAAGTATGTGATTATTCATGAAGAGTCAAAAGTTGCAACTCTTCATTAGGATAGACACATATTTTTCACTAAAAGACATCACTTATAATTTCCATTCAATTAATAAATTTAAGATAATAATAAATTTTCCAACATATATATATATATAAGTACGCGTCTTGTATGCATGCATGTTTGAGAATTGGAGGTCCATTGCCCATTGTACGTAGTCTTAGCTAGCATGAGTACCGTACATTCTTCGAAGACCAGAGTTTTCATTAATCAGAAACCGCGCACTGGGTTTTTTTATGATCTTTTATTTCTTCATGATGAGTAACTGCTTTTCTAGCATTCATCACTCTCTGCACTATTCTGCTTCCCAGAACTTGGGTTCCGTTGTTTCCTGTTTGAATTCTTCCTTTTAGACTTGGAGTACTATTCAAACTGCCGTGAAGTGCTATTGTAGTAGTAGCAGTAGTAGTAATCTCCTGCACCTGCATCGTGCGTTCCAGTACTTTCCGACCCCTACAGACGCTTGGTGAGCATGACTGCCTCCTTATCGGTTTTGAAGCAGTTTCTGGTGCAGCTGCTTTGGTCGGGATCAGGTGAGTGGGCATCGTACTGGTTCGACCTCGTCCTCCTCGTGTAGCAGAAGTCGAGCGTTGTTCTGTCCTCACACTATCTGGTTTCTCGTTAGAAAATCTAGCTACAATTAGAGGATCAGGGGAGGCAGCAGAGACACATGTAGTAGTTGTTGTTGACGTCGTTGGCTTTGTTTTTGAATATTCCATCTTCAGTACTCCTCCCAATCCCATGGCCATGCCCGACGAGGATAAGAAATCTATTGGAGCTGATGTTTCACCGACCGCGTTATTATTTGCTGATCTTTTTGCTCTTGTGTCAACGGATGCTGATGACCTAATAATATTAGCATTCGTTGCTGGTTTCTGGTTCGGACGAGGATCAACTCCAATTGGTGTCGTTCTGTTTTTTGTTTGAGCCTTGGATGACACAATTGTGCCAGTGCTGCTGCAGATGCTTCGTCTTTGACTCGGGGTGACACTTCTCCTCACCGGGATTTTCGGTTTTGGGTTCGGAGATTTTGGTCTCCCATTTCTTGGCTCAACTGCCTCTATGTTGCAATTGCTACCTGCAAACTGGTTTCATCCATGTTTTTTATTAGTAATTCCTTTCATTAGTTAATATGGCATGCGAATGACCTCTAAATTATGATCAAGTCGGAGCTTTGTCTCTAGAATTAGAAATCCGTGATATTTTTGCCTTAATGTGGGGCATTAATTGTTTTAGCCAATTACCTTCATGTTTTTGTCTTAAATTGCAAACGTAGAAGCACGTGATCAACTTTTAAAGTAAGGTTGTGTTGACTGAAAAATAACCACGTGAATAATTAGATAAAAATGCTAACAAAATCAGTTAAAAGAACCCATTCTCCACATATATCAAATTATTATATCGAATGTTACGGATTTTTAATTCAAAAACTAGAACTTCAATTCGACCATAATTCAAAAATCGTTATTTCAATCGTCTAATGAAATTAGGTTTCACTTTTTTACTGACTAAGAAATTACAAAAAAATTTAAATTCTTAATAGCTTACTAAAAAGTCATTAATTTTCTTTTGGTTAAAAAACACAACCATTTCGATATATGAATTTTATGAAGGCTAATTATATATATTAACACCCCACAAATTGTTGAATAAACCCCACAAAATTAATACACCCCACATTTGCTTTTTCACTTAAAAATTATCTTAATACACCCCACTTACTTTCCCATAATACCCCCACACCCCACATTCTCAATATACATCTTATATTTTGTACATACACCCCACATTTTCTTTACACCCCACATTTCTCAAATCTTATAACACTCATTTTTAATTTTCAAGGATTGAATCTAACCATATGAACACTAAAAGATGAATATGAATATAGAAGTTTAAATAATGCAGCAAACGCAAGATTAAATAATTATCGATGTCATCGAAATCACTAAAACAATGAAAACTATGAAGTCTTACCTCATGTGAAGCTCCTGAAACATCGATTTCGTGTTCCATTAGTCAAAAACAATTTTTCTTAATCAACATGTTTGATAGTTGAGAAGATAAATAATACGCTAAAAGTGATTTGGGGGTGTATTTATAAATCTTTATTTTTTTTAAAACCTAATAAGGTCAAAATTGCCATTACATAGTAGAGTAAATAAGTCATTTAAATTTTAATGTGGGGTGCATTCAACATTTTGTGGGGTGTTAATATAAAAACCCTTTTATGAATTTTGATAAAAAGAGTAAACCATAGAATTTGTCCTTAAATTTTCATCATAGTTTAGATTTCGTTTCTGAATTGATTTTGTGTTAATTATGGTATTTGAATTTAACGAAAATGGAGAGAATTAGTCATTTCATCCAAACTCTGTTACATTTTCTATTATTCTATTTACGTGCATGACATCAAGAATTTTTTTTTTTGAATAAACGATATTACCTATACGAAGTGTGAGGGAGTAGGTTAAGCCTCAAAATAGGCTTGCAATAATGTGATTCAAATTTGCTTTTAGCGTGAATCGAACCTATGATCTTTCACTTACAAGTGAAGAGGAATATTACTAGATCGCAGTACTAAGTGGCTCATTCTGCTTACATGCATGGTATGTGGTTCAAATTCGACTCAGTATTATGGTTTAGTGGTAGAGGTCTTAGTTTTCAATTCTCGCCAAAGGAAAATTCGAATCAAATTATTATGACTAGCCTAATGTAAAACTTAGTCCACACTTTAGTATAGATAATATCGTATATATTAAAAAAAGATATTTACATACCCGCGAAAGAGGTTGGAAGATTGGTATTTCCCTTTGAACGACCAATTCAGGGCCATTTGTGTCCATTTCCAGAGACGGGAAAAGAGGAGTTGCAGGCGGTGTTTTTAACCTTGATTGATGTACATAAGATAAGAGCATGCGCAACATATATATTAGCTACTATTGGTCAACAACTAGGCAATTTTAATGGGAGTTTTAACGAAAAGTCTGCGGTACTGTTCATTTTAACGAAAAATTATATTTTTATACTAAAAAGTCAAATATGGTACTATTCATTTTACCCTTAGGACCTCATTATTATTTTTGGTAAGTTAAAACTTAAAAACTTAGGGTTTTTTTTTTGCCAAACGATAGATTTTATTAAAGGGATGTGATATTCACACTCTTTTTTACTTCTCTCACACCCTTTTAATTTTCGGCCGTCGGATCGGATGAATTGAAGAAGATCAAAGGATATAAATTAACAAGGGGTGTGGGAGAAGTAAAAAGGGGTGTGTGGATAGCACACCCCTTATTAAATTATATTTTAGATTAGTCATTAACAGAATTTTATAGCACACCCCTTATTAAATTATATTTTAGATTAGTCATTAACAGAATTTTTCACCACTGTAGTAAATGATCACTTGCTTAAAAACTTAAAATTGATCACTCCTTTTCTCGCTTTGATTTATTTATTTTATGTCGTATCTCTCTTTAATAAAAAGCAAGAAACAAAACTGGAAATTAAATTAAATTTAGGTTGACATCAAATTAATGGATAAAAAGGGGATAAACAAAGAAGGCCTACCAATCATAGTCGTTCTTGTCGTTTTCGGCAAAAATTTCAGATCCCTTCTTGGCAGACGCAATTCTGTAGAGCTGATAGTTTCCTGCGTGCAGTTTTTTTGTTTTCAAAGGTAAATTAAAATGGTCTTTATCGGGCACTTGCAGTTGCATGTACACTATCTTTACTTTTTTTAATCATGAACATCGTACTATTTTTTCAAAAATAAAAAGGTAAATTTTATTACAAACAAAACAAATGTAGACGAGTTAGTGCTAGCTATAGTAAATGAATAATTAAAAAGTAACAAACAGCTAGCTAGGGCTAGCCATAGTAAATGAATCAAATTAAGAAACCGATGAAGCATATATGAAATATTCACATATAGTTCTAAAAAGGGGCAATTAGATTTTAGGGCCTATATAAGATAATTTTTAGATTATAACTTGAATGGGTTTCAAAATCTTATTTAAGTCCCTAATATAATATTCACCGCCACATCATATTACAAGATACCTCTATTACCTACCATATTTACAAACTTTGCCATTTAAATTGTCAACCTATTCTATAATTAAGGCTTAAATATTTTCTGTTAATAAACCATTCAAAATTAAAAAACATTTAAATTTTGATACGAAAGTCAATAAGATAAATCCAACTAAGGTAAATTATACTAATTTATACTTGCTGACAAACAAATTAAGTCTATAGTAATTTTAGGTCAGTCGCCTTAAGAAGTCGAAGATAGAAAAATCAACTACAAAAACAATAGGTTAAAATATTAAATAATAACCCTTAATATATATATATATATATATATATATATATCACAAAAAAAATAGTATAACAACTCCTTATTATCTATATATAGGAATTGGATAAGTGTCGGTACATATGTGTAGGTATATACGTGCACATAGGTACGAAGGTATCGGTATGGAAGTGCCGGTACATACATACACATAGGTACATACATGCATATAGGTACGAAAGTATTGATACGTTAACATCGGTACGGAAGTATCGATGTTGAAGTGTCGGTACATATGTACATATAGGTACGGAAGTATTGATAGATTAGCATCAAAAGAAAAAATCGGTAGATTCGATGTATGAGAAGGTAAAAATAAATCATCAACACTAGAAAAAAATGGTAAAAATAAATCATGCACTATTAGATGTATAAGAAGAAGAAAGATTAGATGTGGATGGTGGCCCTAGCCTTTTCTTCTTACACGGTTGAAGATAATTTTTGGGTTGGACAAAAAGTTTCATTTTTAAGTAGAATCATTTATGTTAGCAATAAAATGAAAAGTTATAAATAAATTAAATATGAGACATTATCATTCACTCAAGGATAATATAGGAAGAAAAAAAATTACATAAAAGAAATTAAGTCTGGCATTAAATATAAATGTTGACTTGGACATAAGTCAAATGACTATAATTAGTTTTTTTATCTTGGTTAAGGTTTTAGTCTAAAGATAATATTTTTCAAGGATTAATATCTAGTTTCCTATTCTAAAAATATGCTTTTAATTTGCCTCTAAAACTTAATATATATAGTAATAATTATTATACAGTTAATATTTGTATATATACACGTGCTAATAATATGCAGCAGTACCGTACGTACCATTTAGCTCAAACTCGTCCGAAACGGGTTGGAGGAGGCTGACGATATTGCATTCTTTTTCGCGCTTTTGCAACTCCTGGAACAGAATAAGATCTTGATCATGATATCTGTCGTCCTTCCGTCCTCCGTTGATCAAGGGCATCCCGGGAACTCTCCTCCTGGTACCACCCCTTAAGTTTGCGCCATTTGGTTTCGAATTAGAATTCATGGTACTATTTCTATATATCTACGGGCGCACGTTGAGGGTTTTGAGGGTTAGGTCCCTCTAGCTCATTTCGTTTTGATTAACTGCAGCGGCAAAATGCTTCTTGCAATTATATATATATATATATATAGAAGACGATCGATCCGATAGAAGAGGAGGTTTAACTTATAATTTATAAACATCGATCAAACATGGATGAATCGAGTAATACGCTAACCCCAACAGCTTCGGCATAAAGAGAGGTTGCCACGTGGAATCTTAGCCGGCAATTTCAGAGTCCAAGCTACACAAACACAAAGCGACAAAGTTTGCTTAATTATATCAAATGTAGGGGAGTTGCAGGCGGTGTTATTAATCTTGATTGATCTACATAAGATAGGAGCAAATTATACATTACACATAAGCTACTATTGGTCAACAACTAGGCAATTTTATAATTAGGAACTAATAATTTGTTTGGTAATAAATTAAAACTTAAAACTTAGAATTGATCGCCATGTAGTACGGTCTATTGGTATTTCTCTTCACTTATAAGTAAAAGATTTTATGTTCAATTCTCGCCGAAGGTAAGTTTGAACCACATTATTACTAATCTATTATGAGTTTAAGCACATTTCATTCTTTCAGTGTAAATTATATCGTCCGTTCAGGCGAGTGGTAAGAGAGGAAGAAAGAGTGAGATGCAAACAGCGGGATGAGAGAGAGAGAGAGAGAGAGAGAGAGAGAGAGAGAGAGAGATGAAGGAAGGAGGGAGTTGAGGCGGTTGGTTGAGTGTGGTGAGGGAGGAAGAGAGAGAAAGTGATAAGTAGATCTTACGAGTATTGAGGTGAGGGAGGGAGGGTAGTAGATTAGGGTTTGGCAATTAGGCTTATGGAAATTGGGCTTTAGAAAAAATAAATTTGGGCTTCATAGATCACAAAACCGAAACTAGTTTTTAGATTCTGTCTCAAAATCAAAACCCAAATCGGATCAGGCTGGGCTGATCGGTATCCGTTCGGGTTTTTTTTTTTGTTCAACCGGTTTTCTTCGGTTTTACTAGATGTGTATGAATATTTTTTATTTTTGTTTTTAAAATGAGAAGAAGAGAGGGAGTGAGAACGTGGGAGCAGCACTGAGAATAGAGATTAGAAATATGCTAAAATCATATGTGGGTGAGGCTTCAATAAAAAACAATAAATTTGATTATGTGACTTTTTATTATTGTCCATCATTTTTTCCATGATAAAAAAGTTGTTTGTACCATACTTGACCAATCTCAGCTGCTTCGACCCGAAGCAGGAGAAGTGGAGTAAGACACCTCCTTGCAGAAAGGTTGGAAGGATCGAAAACCTTTTATCGTGACTGCCGAGACTTCCTAAAGCAAAGTCGAGAGAATGCCCTCCACATATGCTCGAAGATCAATAACCCAAGGGTTCCTGAAAGACTCGGTCCCCTCCCACGACCCAGGTTAGCTGCCAATCTAGGGAAGGAACGACAGGTGCTAGAGGAACATGAAGGTACAGGGGACTCTGAGGTATTTCGACAGACTCGCCCTAGAAGTCAGTACGGCGAGTCCAAGGAAAAATTGCACGCCTTTGCTCAAACTTTCCTATTTCCAAGAGGCGGTGGAGACTTACGAAAGAAAATACCAGTGGTACATGACTCTACTCAGGACCCCTTTGTCCTACAGCTCATTGAGGAAGTAAACAAGTTGAAAAGGCCGAACGTAGGCCGAGATACCTGACTGGAACCAACCTAGGCCTGGCCCTCTCACAAGGAGGATCCTTGACACCCCCTTCAAGCGAAGACAAAACAGAAGCTTGGTTTTACAAACTCTATACTGGAAGGGATGACCCAATTGAACACCTTAACCAGTTTGAGTCCACCATGGCATATCAGATCCACACCGACGAAGAGCGATGTCTTCTCTTCCCTCCACCTCTCTGGCGGAGCTCTAAACTGGTATTGTTGTCTTCCACCTAAGACAATAGACTCATTTGAGGAACTGAGGAAACTGTTTGTCATTTAACACATCTTCCAGACCGATCGCTTGCATTCTGCAGATAACTTGTACACTATTCGCCAGAAGCCGGATGAGTCACTAAGAGAGTATGCTGGTCGTTTCAGCCATAAGTATTTCTCGATGCGTTGAGGCAGATGACAAGACTGCCCTCAAGGCCTTCACGGCAGGGCTACGTGATTGTTTCTTTAAGTACATGATCAATGCCACACTTGGGAAGACTTACTCTGAGGTGATGGCACATGCTTATAACCATGCCTCCGCCGAGGCAAGGACATATCAAAGGGAAACCCCCCAAAACACCCCTTATCAGCAAGTAGGGAGTGGAGCCAGATCCAACCAAAATGAGAAGACCTCGACCTTCCAAA